GTGTGTGTGTGTGTGTGTGTGTGTGTGTGTGTGTGTGAGCTGTTGAATTGACATTTACTGTTCAACTTACCAGCACTTTTCCTGTATCAGTTTGCTGTAGCTTAGCGTGTGCAAAAGAACAAAAACACTGCCCATCGCCCGTTTATTTTCAGACCCGGTCAGATTTCATTGCGATGCACGCCAGTCCCTCCCAARACTTCAAACGCTACACCTTCACTCAGCACCTTGCAGACAACCTGCAGCACAAATAGAGAAATGGTAAATTACCCGTAATTACCATCATTTGAGCTCAAACTAACAATGACAAGTTGCTTGCTGTTGTATTATTATTGGAACCTCACACTGAGGCTTGTTTTCTCTAATGAAGGCAGACACAATTCCACTTTGAAAGAAGTTGCTACATAATTATGAGAAAACTTGTTTTGGAAAAGGTTTTTTATTTTTATTTTTTATTAAAATTGCAAATAAAAATGAAACTAGCACAATCACTGTGTTTGGCAAAGTTTGCAACAAAGATCTCAGAGTCTGTTAGTACTTAGAGTTTGTGCTGGTGGTAGTCTCAGCTACGACCATACCAGGTTTTAGTTCAGTATCAGCCAGACTTAATACGTTATTGTCATTTCATTGTTTACTAAGATTGATTAACTGTGGCAGCTATCCTAAATAAAGCTGACTCCAAATGTTAATGAGCTGGGCACGCACATCAGAGATTACTTTCTGGAAGTTTCACTCAGTTCATGGAATATTTTGCTAACAGCCAAACTGGGACAACACMAACAACTGATGCAAAATTTTTAAGTAAAAATATCATGCAATGCAGAGTGCTCCAAGTGCGTTATAGTGCTCAGCTACTGTGTGGGCTATACAAAGTGTTTTGATATTGATTTAATACTAAGTAAATTCAAAGCTTTGCAGACATGGATTTTGATACATCGCATGTTTATTTAATCATTTTGGGATTTTGCCTTAGTTTGTTAACTAAGACAAAATGCAAAGATTTTAGACAATTTTTGTTTTAACAATGTAAAAATTACACACATATATATATATATGTATATGGTGTGTGTGTGTGTGTGTGTGTGTGTGTGTGTGTGTGTGTGTGTGTGTGTGTGTTAACAACACATCCTGTGATCCAAAAGACACGGTTTAATGAAACTTGCAGCCCAAGTGAATGATTTAAATGTTAAAAAGAAGCATTTCAAAGCATGATAGGTCTTCTTTAAAATAAATGATGTAGCTGAGATTTGATCCCTAACACATTCTGAGTGCTAACATAGTGTGAGTGCCCACACTTGCACCACAATCTGGAGTTTTACAAYTGGAAACTATTGTTTTCCAACTTGGCACATTTTACATAAAAATCTGTAAACATAAAATGTGAGTGACAGTTAGTTAGGTTTGAACAGTAACTTGTAGTGACTAAAGTATTAGATTAGACGTCATCATGAAGAATTTTGTCCTGAAAAACAACACTGACCTTGGCAACAATTAATTCAACTTCCAAATCAGTGTTTGCTTTGCTTGGTATTCAAATGTTGAAGTTTGTCTCCCTTTAATAAATGGGAAATATGCATCAGTATATTTTTATACACGTTCAATTATTTTATCATTATAAAAAAAGAAGAGTCTTGCTGAATTTGCTGCCTTTGGGACACTCATAATCCCATTTTGCTCTTTTTGTAGATTTATGGTATTTTCCTTTCCTGTCCTTTTTTATTTATTTATTTTTGGCCAAAGTAATTGATCCCTTTGGAATATTTAAAAAAAAGTCTTACCCATCTTTTTGCATCAAGCATTTTGTCATCTCTGCTTAGGAGCTTGGTTTTCCCAACTAAAAAAGAATAAGAACTTCCTTTTGCAAAATCTAAAAATTGGGAATACCCATTATGTCTCACAATGGACTACACTAAATAAGGGCTCTTCAATCAATCTTATGCGTATGACACTAGAGGGACATTTGTAGACCACTACCACTGTTAAGATGCCAAAACTGAGCAGAATGTCACCAAAGTGAAATAATACTCCAAGTCTGCAGAGCAAACAGTAATTACTGAGAGCATCCTCCTCAGGTTGTTGGGTTTGTCGTCACGGGGCCGTTTAACAGCTTGGCCAAAGCCAGATCACAAGGCTTAGCCAAGATGAAAGGGCTTCACCAAAAGGTGCTAATGGAAACAACTTCAACCCAACATGCCAGCCTTTCTGTAAGGAAATGTGTGAATGAAAAAAAAAGAGCGGCTGAGTGTGTCAAGATGGTGTCCTGTGTCCTGTGCTCTGGGACAAGGTGTGAGTTGTCAGAAAGAAGAGACAGAGGTGTGTGTGTGTGTGTGTGTGGGGGTGTGTGTGTGTGGGGGGGGGGGGGTGACATGTTTGTGTCAACACCCCTAGAAGACATGAGCCGATGTTGTCCTTCAGTCTTCCTGACTCGTTTGAAGTTCAGCGGGCCATCTGCTGTAAAACCTGTTGAGTTTTTGGCCACATCTGTAAGCAAACAAGCAGGCATCACTATTTAGTGTTTTAGTGTTAAATGATACAGTCAACACCAACGTTTGTCTTTTAGTAAAATATTAAATAAACTGCTGAGTAAATTTTAATAATGCACCAAAACTGCTACAACACTTCCTTCTCAGCAAAAGATGATCTTAGTTTAAAACCCCTGTAGAAAAAGTGGTGAGTGACACGAAATACTTTAAGAAATGCTAAATACTTAAATTGTAAAAAGTTAAATTAGTAKCTTCAACATTCATAAACTCATAAACCAGTGGGGATTGTTTCAACAATCTATGATTTTCAGCTGCAGGTAGATGTTTGCTGCATCAGCTGTGCAATAAGAGTGGTGAAACGTTTTTATATAGAAAATCCAATAAAGASCAGTTCACATGAATTTACCAACAGCTTTACAAAACCTTTATCAAGAGCCTGCCATGAAGAAACATTTCCTGTTTCTTCTCCCATTTTACACAAATAAAGTTGCTACTTCACTTACGACTAAGCAAACATCTTACTGCAAACTGAGATGTTCCAAAAAACAAGCAGGAGTCTAAATTTGACTTTTGATCTGTGCAGCATGTAGCCTGTCCCTTGCGCAGTAGACATTTTTGCATTGTAACTGTTGTAATTGTTTGCAACAAAACATGGATGGATGGATGGATGGATGGATGGATGGATGGATGGATGGATGGATGGATGGATGGATGGATGGATGGATGGATGGATGGATGGAGGTATGTCTCAGATCAGCTCATTTTGAGGCTGTCTCTTTAAAGCCAAACAAGGCACTTCACAACTCGCCCTCCTCCATCTCCAAAGTGGTCCATTCTAGTTTGATAGAGGAGTTTATGACTATATAGCGGAACATTTTTTAATTTACAAATTAATTCAAAGATGTCAACAAGGAAAGACTTGTCCATCCAGCCTACATGTTGGAGCTAGAGTCTGACCCAGAGAGAGAGGAGAACAAAGACGACCACATCGTAGTTGGTAAATCCAGACCTTTTTTAGATGTTCTGTTGCAAATACATGTAANATGGATGGATGGATGGATGGATGGATGGATGGATGGATGGATGGATGGATGGATGGATGGATGGATGGATGGATGGATGGATGGATGGATGTCTCAGATCAGCTCATTTTGAGGCTGTCTCTTTATATCCAAACAAGGCACTTCACAACCCGCCCTCCTCCATCTCCAGAGTGGTCCATTCTAGTTTGATAGAGGAGTTTATGACTATATGGCAGAACATTTTTTTAATTTACAAATTAATTCAAAGATGTCAACAAGGAAAGACTTGTCCATCCAGCCTACATGTTGGAGCCAGAGTCTGACCCAGAGAGAGAGGAGAACAAAGACGACCACATCGTAGTTGGTAAATCCAGACCTTTTTTAGATGTTCTGTTGCAAATACTGTGATGTAATAGTTCAGAAAATGTTGTGGAGAATGGAGAAAACTGAACAAGTTGAAAAATATGACCCAAACAAAATTTATATAAGATATCTACACAGCACTGTAGGAGACTAAATTCAGCTTTTCTGCACTCATAAACACTAATTACCTGCACATTAAAATACATTTAATGGATAAAATTCATGACATGTCATGAAAAATACGCTAGGTCATAATGACTTTTTATCAGATATTTAAGCTTCATATATTGAAAAAAGTGGCAGGTAATGTCAAACAGCATAGTACATTGTTGATTTACTTGGTTAAACAGCCAGTAAAGAGTTTTATTTTTTACCCCACAGCACCAACAGACAACATGACAAATGAGCTGAACAARGTGTTGATGTGGTCCAAGCTGACAGTCAATTACTCACTAAAAAGAAAAGAGRCGTTCAGACGCTCCAGACGTTCCTATCAGCCAATTGTTTGTGTGACACACCCTGACTGTAAGTGTACATCATCAGAAATGCACTGTGCTCTCTCACCTTTGTTAAAGTCATCTTATATATATTTTTTTTTAAAAAGCCTCTTCCCAAACCTCTACGTTGACCTCCTTTTCCCTAACACGAGGCAGAAATGCTCCGTCTGCACGAGCCGCGAAGCAGAAAGAGGAACGTGTGCATGAATGCATATTGTTTTATGTTGTTTAATCTTGGGAAAAACAACCGATCCCCGAAGACGCCATCTATACTTTGGCTATAAAAACCCGACGCGTATCAAACAGGACGCGGGAAACTTGCATGTCAAACAGCTCTGAGCAGGATGACTTTTAACTGGCTGTCTAGGTGGCTTCTTTATTTGACAGACCTGCATATGTCACAGGTTCCCTGTGAGATCACTTGGAAGCRACTGAGGCATGGATGTGAAATGGAAATCGCTGGGTATTTAGTTTGATATCACTGTCTGGGACGCTTCCTCAACAACACACGTGTAGAAGTTAAACAGCCAGTGCACTTGCTCAGGGTGTCAGGGGAAGAAAGCCCAGAGGCACATTCCATAACTAGGTTACCAACAGCTGTCTCTTTGACAAGGGGTTGAAATTTATGAAAACAAGACATTTCTTACTTACTTTAGTTCATTTCTGAAACCATTTTCTGCTTCAATTCACTTGATATAAACTCTTATTTCTTATATCCCCTTCATGACAGAGGCTGTTAAAGTTTTTATCTGGAATTCAATAGTTTGTACACCTCAGATGAAACACCATCATGGTAATTTTTCCCTGCATTTATTTATTTAAAAAAAAAGAAAAAGTTACCACAAGCTTGATCAGGCAGCAACATCTATGTTCT